GTGTGTGTCTGTCACTCTCGAGCCCCTCCGTCTCCTGCCAGCATCCAAACAGCCCTTCCCCTGCAGCACTGGGAGGTGAGGGCCCTGAGCCTCCGAAGCCTGTAATCGGGACCAGGTGTCGGGCGCCACGTGCAAACCTGACCCCAGCAGTGACCCTCACATATCATCTGATCCGTAAGACAAACTGGAGGGCAGATGCGATCAGCGCAGCCTGCGGTGACCGCACGTTCCCTCGGCCACCAGCCAACAGAAGGGCAAGCCGGGCCTAAAACCAGGCCCTCTGTGGCTTACCACTTCCCTCTGTGTTCTTGGAGATTCCTGATAAAAATCCCTTTTGAAAGGTCTATTGTGAGAGTGCTGAGCTAAGTGAGGGCCGGGGCAGAGGCCGATTCACTCATCGGCTGAGGAACAGGTCTGCCCCGGCTGTGGGGCCCCGGCTGTGCGCCGCTCAAGCCCCGGGTCCCTGAGCAGGGGAGGCACACGTGGCACGTGGAGTGATCACAGCCCAAAGGAGACAGGTGGGGGGAGGGGAGCTCTGGGGGAGGGGCTGGTGTCCACAGAGGCATCAAGCCTGTGGGGAGCCATTGGGGGTGGAGGGGGTGGAGGTGCCTGAAATGAGGGCTGGCAGAGAGGCTGGACTTCTGGAGGCCGAGGGGGCACGGGATGCAGCAGCGACAGGCAGGGCCAGGCACTTGCTGCATGCGGGCTCACTGAGAGAAAGTGCTGGCTGTGGACTCGGTGACCTGACACCGCCTGCTGTCCTGCAGGCTTGGGGCTCACCGCAGTCTCAGGATGGCAATTGTTACCCCATTCGACAGATGGAAGAGTAGAGGCGCAGGGACGGGATGTGGTAAAGCCAGAAGCAGGGTCTGTAGCCGCTCTGATGCTGGGGACACAGGCAGCTCACAAGCCGAGGTCTGAAGAAGGAGGGGGAGTCACCTGAGGGTCAGGGCTGGGCGCAAGGCGGCTGTGAGGTTGACCCCTGGAGTCCAGGGTCCGGAACCCCACCACACGCCTCAGCAGCCCCAGCACTCAGCGCCCCCTCCCTTTGGGCCCGTAGGCTCCCAGCCTGCAGGCCGCCCCCGCCTCCCCTCGGCGCCTTCCCAGTAAAGCTTTGTAACTAACAAGCTCCAGAGACGGACAGGGGCCCCTGGTCTCCCCTGGCCCTTCAGGCCCTCATGAGCCTCGATGGAATGATCCCTGGGGCTGGTGACCAAGTCACACACAGAAGACTCTGCCTCTAGTCAAGGCCTGGAGAGACCTTCGCCTGAGGCCCCTCTTCCCAGCTCCCGCTGCCGGGCCCCGCCTGGGTGAGCAGGCCAGTTAGAGCCGCCTCGTTTCTTCCGCCCGTGTATCTTCTCCACTTCGTGGGGAGAATGCTTTTAGGGGAAAAGTCGTAAGGTTGGATAGAAAATGCATTCACACATTCACTGACACCTACCACGGGCCAGGCCTGTGCTGGACTCCAGGACGCAGAGGGAGCACGGTGTGGCTTTGTCCTCTCCTGGGACACCTCCCTGAGTCTTCTCTCTGAGCAGAACTGAGGTCCCATGGGGGTCAGAAAGACCCCCTCCCCTGGCAGCTGTGGGAGAGGCTGCGCGAGCAGAGGTGAGGCTGGAGGCAGGAAGAGCCCCAGCCCCGGCAGCCGGGAAAAGTGGGAAGACCAGGGAAGGTCTGGACCAGGCACTGGACACAGAGGGCTGTGGGTGGGTGCCCTCGGCTGTAGGAGGGCACGGTCTACACTGCCCGGTGTACGGTAAGCACCCGAGCCGTGCTGGCATGGCCCTTTCATGGGAAGGGAGGGAGGAGTCACGGCTGGCACCCGGGAGGGCCCTGCACTCGGGAGCCTGCTGGATCTGTGGGAGCGCAGACCAGGCAGTCCCTCCCAGGACCTCCCTGTGGGCGACCAGACGCGACCCCAGGCTGTAAGCGGCCACAGCAGGCAGCACGGAAATGATCACACAGACAGGGTTGCTAGGACGCCCACGGCCACGGGCAGCGCGGCCCCTTCCCAGGGACCGAGAGCAGCAGTGTGGACGGAGGTAGGAGGCGTGTGGACCGAGGGCTCCAGGTTCAAGGTCCCTGTTCTCTAACAACTTCCTGCCCAGAGAAGGTGGCTTTTACGAGGAAACTTACAAAGAATCCCAAGCCAAGAACGGAGCAAAGATCCCCGAGGCCTCGCCGAGCTGCCGTGCTGGGCTGGGTCTCGGGAGGCAAATTTGAACGGGGACAAACTGTGCAAAGCTAGTGACCTGAGACCAGCAGTGGGGATGCCTGACTCAGCACCAGTGGGGACACTGGAGGCGTGTGTGAAGTGAATTCCTAATGTGACATGCAAACCAGCCCTGCGTGAAGCCGGGAGCTCCCTGCCAGCCCTGCGGGAGGAGCCAGGGAGCAGGCGGGGAGGCAGCTCCTCACCTCCGCTCCCAATCACGCCATCCACGTTCCTGTGGGTAACGCTCTGGACGAAGCCCTTGCTCTCTGCTGCACGCTTCCGCCGCTGCATCCCAAGCTGTGTGCTGGGTTTGGGCACAGAGGGACACTTGTATGCAGGACGGAACAAGAGAACTGGAATGTAGGTGGGCGTGGAGGGGCGGAGGCCCGAGAGGAGCCTGGGCTGTCCGCACAGGACGGGCTGCCGGCCGCAGCGCCCCAGGGTCCGGTGGGGGGCGCGGTCTGCCCTGGTACCAGGCTGCAAGACGGGGAGGGGGAGGGGGAGGGGGGCCGGCGCTAGGCTCTGCCCACACCCGCCAGGCTGGGGGGCTGGCGGCTCCGGCACTCATACTAGACGCCGTCTCTGCGGGTGCCCATGCTCACAATCAGTCCACCCAGAACCCGCTAACCCTGTCTCAGCTCTGCCCGGGGCCTCCTCACCTGCACGGCAGCCCCGGGGCTGCTTGGTGACCGCGGCGGCCCCTTTACCAGCCCCCCCCCAACCCCCCACCCCCCCCACCCCCGCACTGCAACTCTTTCCCCAGCAACCCATCCCTGCATGCCTTCCTTACCGCCCTTCAGGGGCTTCCCAAGGCCCTGGGGGTGAAGATCAACTTCAGTGCCAGGGCCCTACGAGGCCCTGCCACGCCGGGGCCCTCCCCGCACCCACCCGCCGCTCCTTCCCTGCCGGCCTGGGAGCCTGTCCCCAGTCCCTCCCAGCCCCTCCCCAGCAGTGCACACCCTCAGCCTCTGCCCTTCCCACTGCCCAGAGGCTCTTCCCACCCACCTGCCTCAGTCACCGCAGTCACCACCTCCCCAGAGGAGGCTGCTCAGCGCCCACCCCCTCCCACCCCCTCGGGCCGCCTACACGGCTTTCTCCAGCACCCCGAGCCCAGGCAGACAGTGCCCCATCAGGACCTGTACTAAAGCCTCAATTTCTTTTTTTTTTCTGTTCTATCTTAAAAATATTTTTATTTTACTTACAGCGTAGTTAACACGAAAGTGTTATCTTAGTTCCAGGCGCACAATGTAGTGACTCACTAACCCCTCCCCTCCCCCCCCCCCGATTTATAACACGATGCCTGCAACACAGTTGGTGCTCAATATACAGTTTTTGGAGGGGGAAAAGCACTGGTATAAAGGGAAATACAGACGGTATGTCAGTCAGATTTCTCTTATATTAAGAGATTTATTTTAAGGAATTGGCTCCCGCAACTGTGGGGACTGGCAAGTTGGAGATCTGCAGAGGAGGCCGGCGAGCTGGAGGCGGGAAACTTAGGCAGCAAGTCTAGGATCCCTTCTTCCCTGGAAAACCTCAGTTTTCTGCCCCTGAGGCCTTCAACAGCCTAGGGGAGGTCTGCCCGCGTGACTGACACTCTCCTTGACTTCAAACCAACTGATTGCAGATGCCAATCACTCGACAAAATGCGTTCACCAGTGTCCGGCCAAACGCCCGGGCACCGGAGCCCAGCCCCACTTACCTATCAATGCAAGCCGCCCCCTCCATGCGTCCACCCAAGGAGGGGCCGACCCCCAGGCAAGACCAGATGTGGGGAGGCAACTGGGAAGGTCACCACAAGCTCGTCTTCCCACACGGGAAGCTGTCCTGTAAACTGCAGCGGGTGGTGACGAGGCCCCGCCAGGCCTGCGGGGCCACAGTGATGCGGCCGTGATGGCAGTGGGTGGGGGGAGTCCCCCATTGTGAGGTCCAGGTGGAACGCTGGGCACAGGCTGGCTCCGAGCCGGTCCCCACCCCCACCTCGGGCTTACACAAGGGCCTCATGCTATCTCCGCCTGGGAGGGCGCCCCGGGGCACCACCTTGCTTGGCTCCCGAGGTCAGAACCCCCCAAGAATTCTGAGCAGATAGTTCTTAAAAAGGGAGCACAATGGGGACGCCCAGGTCTGACTTCTCGAAACCTGACGACCTGCCGAGGAGCACAGTCTTGGGTCTTGAACTCACGCGGGGCTGTGGTGGGGAGGGGCAAGGGCTCGAGCCACCAGAAGGGGAGACTCCAAGCTCTAGGGAGCCAGGCACATGGACATGCCCCGGCCAGCCGTCAGAGACAGGCTTTGAGCACCTGGGTTGGAAGAAAGTATGGCCAGCGTCCAGGGTCCCCAAGGTAGAATGTCCCCGAGAGAAGCCACAGGCTACTCCAGTTGTGCCCCGCGTCCCGAGGAAAGGGCGCCCTGGCCAGGAAGGCGGGTGCTGAGTTTTCACGGCACAGAAGGCCACTGCTGACCCCCTACCGGGCCCCTAGGCCGGGTGCTAGGGTGCTCCGGCCCCCCGGCAGCTACCCGCGCAGAGCCAGAGAAGGGCTGTGGTGGGGCCACGGCTGCAGGGAAGCCTAGAGGGTAGAGGTCAGCCCGCCGGGGTGGCAGGACGCCTGACGGACCAGACCCCGCAGAGAGAAACCGGCCACGGAGGGGGTCCGCGCGGTCCCGGCCGGGGCACGACGTGTGCACAGGCCTGCGGGCACGGAGAGCTGAGCCTGTGGGGCGGAGAGGCCGGGAGGAGGGCACGGCCTCTGACCTCACAATACCCAGGGCCCCTGGCCAGCCCCGCAACCTGCAAACCCTGGTGGCCTCCTCCCACCCGGGCGAGGCCCGGGGCCCTGGGCAGCCTCCAGGTGCAGAGCCCCGCCTCGGGCTGCACCCGTCCCACTGCCCCGGGGCATGTCTCTCCTCACCAATTACGAGGGGCTCCGGCATCAGATCGAGAGGCTGGTGAGGGAGAACGAGGAGCTGAAAAAGCTGGTGCGGCTCATTCGGGAGAATCACGAGCTCAAGTCGGCAATCAAGACGCAAGCGGGCGGCCTGGGCATCAGCGGCTTCAGCACCGGGCTTGGCGAGGCGGCGGCCACCCCTCCTCAGTGCCAGGGAAACTGTAAGAGAGCGGGGCGGCGAGGGGCGGCGAGGGGAGCCCTGGACACAGGGCATGGGGAGTAGCGAGCGGGCGGGACGGTGGCCCCACTAGGGGAGGACTCGGGCCGGAGAGCCGGAGGGCGAGGCCGGGTGCCGGCTCCACGCACCCTGAAGGGAGGAGCCCTGTTCACCCCCCTCCTCTGGGCCGGGCTTCCGTGCAGCCACAAAGACCGCGAATTTCCCAGCTGCGGAATCCAAACGTGCCGCCCTCCTGGGTCCGGTGTGTCATTCACCCTGCGCCTCCCTCCTCAGCACCCCCAGTCCCCTGCACCTAGAGACGGCCACTGACAGACTGCCCGGGTCCAGGAGCCAGGGACAGAAGCCAGGACTGAAGCCGAGCTCCGGGAGTCACCGGTGTGTGACAGAGCCCTGGGGCTGGAGAAGATCTAGGGTGAGGCGGAAGAGGCAGAGAAGTCGCAGGCACCTGCAGAGCAAGGGGCCATCTGCAGGCTTGGGCCTGGAGAGCAGGGACTGAGCCAGGAGGAGCCAGAGAGGCCACACAGCTGAGCGTGGCGATAGGGGCAGGGCAGTCCTGGGGACAGGAAGCTGTGGGCAGAAACTGGCTGGCACTGGAGATAACAGAAGGGGAATTTCTGGGGGCGCCAAGGCCCCAGGGTGAGGCGATAGGAGCCGGTGGCTGGCAGTGCACTGGTGAAGGTTACACGAGGCGAGACGGCGATAAATCCCTGAGCAGGTCACAGCACAGCCGTCCCCTCCTGACACTGTCCTCCCTGTGTCAGAGAAGGCCCTGCGCCCCGCCCTCCTGCGGCCCCTCCGTCCCCAGAATGGTCTTCCTCCCCAAGAGGAGGCCGCTGCCCATTCCGGGGCATCTGCAGCTTGCCCGTGGGCCCCAACACTCGGCTGCTCCGGGAAGGTCACAGGTGACTTCCTAAGTGCCACATCCTTCTAAGCCTCTGCATGCAATAGGGGACCCATAACCCCCCTCTTCCTGAGCTTACCCTTGGCCATGGCCCACCCCCTGCTCCCGGGCGGCCCAGGCCCCGCGCTCCCCGCCGCCAGCCAGCCCGGCACGGGCCTCCGTCCTCCACGGGGCTCGGGGCCCCTGGAGCCGGCCGTGCAGGCCCAGGGACCCCCTGGCACTTAGCTCGCTCCAAACCACACGTGTTTCTGTTTGAGAACCTGGCCTTTCCGCTGGGATGCTAAACTCTCTCAGGCCTGTGCTCCTGCCCTGATGGCCTCACATCGGGCCTTATCCTTGAAAGCTGCCTCTCTCTGGTCCCCACACCGGCTTCTCTGCTCTTGAACCCCACTGTTCATCCATCCGGGCTTCACCCCCTTACTGGCCACAAGAACACAGGCCTCTCGTCCGGAAGGCTTTACTGTAATGACTGAAACAATGCGTCGACAAAAATAAAGATACAGGGAAGTCCGAAATAAAAGCAATCTCAAAGCTTCACAAGAAAGTAAGTCTTCTCCTTTCGGGCCTGATTCTTAACAGAATCCTTGGACCACGTCGGGTCTCCCACCTCTGAGGGCCCAGCTTAGGGCTTAGGAAAGGCTTTCTGGAGGAGGTGAGCCCACGGTGGCAGGAAGGCATTAGAGGGTGAGCAGCAGCGCCTGCAAACGCCAGGACCAGAGGGGCGGCCGCAGGGACGCGGGACACATCAGTGAGGCTGCCGCCCCGGCTGTGTGTGGGTGAGCGCACCGGGCCCTGTGAGTGTGTGCGGGCTAAGTATGTTCGTACTGCGTGTGAGAGTCGTGGGGTTGTATCTGTGGATGTCAGTGTCCGTGCGGTTGTATCTGTGAGTAGAGGGTATTATCAGAGCCAGTGACATTGAGCAGCATGGCTGCGAGGCCAGCGAGGACTACAGGCCGGCTCCTCAAGGCAGCGAGCCAGGCTGCGGGGGGTGTGGCGGAGTGATCGCACTCTTGCTGTGGAAGGGTCCCGCCGGCCACTGCGGGGAAGGGACTTGGAGGAGACGAGAGCGAGGCCGGAGCCGGCTGAGGCTGAGGCTGAGGCTCTAACAGTCCTGTGGGTCGGAGACTGTGGCCCGAACTAGGGACGGAGAGAAATTGACTCAAGCTATTTAAGAAAACTAACCACTTGGATGCGCGGGATGGACCAGGGAGTCCAGAAGATGTCTCTGCTCGGGCGGAGGTGGCCAGGTACCTGGCAGTGTGACCTCCTGAGAGAGCGGAAGTCTCTGTCCCCACACACAGCCACGGAGGATCCCTGTTCTGGCCCTGGAGGAACGTTCCTTTTCTCCGGCCACTTCCTCCTCCTGCTCCTCGTGACTCAGCGTCCTGGTGGAGTCAGGCTTTTACTCTTGATTTGCTCTCGTGAACCCAACCTTCAGTTCCCCTTTCTGGGCTCACCCCGGCACTCTGTGTACCCCTCAGGCCTGCGGTGCAGGGCTCGGGCCCCTCCCCATGGAGGGGAGGTGGCCTGGGCTTGTATGTGTGGTTGGGCAGCGCAGGGCCACTCTGGCTGGGAAGACACAAGACACCTGCATGGAGCCACCAGGTAGCAGCGGTGACACAGTCCTGAAGCTCCAGGAGAGGTCAGGGCTGGAGGGAGAAGGTTCAAGAGTGTTGATCACTGAAGCCACAGGAGGGTTGAAGCCACTGGGAGGGGAGAGCACAGCCAGTGCGAGAGAGAAACCTGAGAGTGTAATGTCACAGAAGCCAAGACACAGCTTTGAGGGGACAGAGTATCAACAGAGGCTGAAGAGTCCAGGGCCTGTGCTGACCTGGTGTGGACGAGCTCGGTTAGACTTGAACCCCACCACTGGTACGGTGGCCCAAGCTGTGAGGAGAAGAGCGACGAGTGACAGAGAAAACGGCAGAATGGGTGGTGGCGTTCAGTTCCCAAAGCGCAGCTGGGGGCCGGCAGGAGCTGCTCGGGCCACGCAGCCAGGCTTCTCAAGATGGCAGAGACCTGACCTTGTCACTGTGAGGCGGGAAGGAGCCAGGAAAGGCGCTGGGAGGTGCCTTCATGAAGGGAAGGGAGGCAGGAGGCTGAGGAAACCAGAACCACGGATTCCATTTTCCCTGTAAAAATGACACTGTCGGAGCCGAAGGTGAGGAAGGTGTGAAACAGTGGATGTGGCAGGAGCTGAGAGCCAGACCTGGGCCTGTCCACCGTGCAGGGAGCTCGGATGGTGCCAGCCACCACGGACTGGACCGTAAAGGCAGCAAGCCACCAACTTGCTCAGCAGCGTCTGTTTGGGGCTCGGGGCCGGGGAGGACGGAGGGACTCAGCAGGCGGAGCAAGCACAGGTTTGGGCGCCTCACAGGGGGGAATGAAGGGCAGCTGAGCTGTGGGATGGGGAGATAACAGTCGCCCATTTGCTGGAGATCCGGAGAGGCTCCAAGCCCGGGTGCCTCAGCGTGGGTAACAGAGCAAGCGGAATCAACTTCACAGGGAAGAAACAGGTGCCTCGAGGTTCAGGCCTTGGCCCGGGAAACAAGGCAGGTGGAAGGCAGAGTCAGGATGGGATCAGGACTCCAAGAGCCCTGCCCTGCAGTGTCCCAGCAGACAGGGGGTGGCCGGGAAATGAAGGCCAAATTGAGTGCTCAAGTGACTGCAACAGTGGCTGTCAGGACGGGTCAGCGGGGGGGCAGGGTTCGGCCGCTCCTGTGTGGGTACCTCCCCCATCCCCACTCCTTCACCCAAGCCCACGCTGCTCCCAGTCCCTGCGGCCCTCTGTCTGTTCTCTCCGGGGCTGCAGGCTGGTGGAAGCTTCCTGCCTCAGGGTGCAGCCTACTTTCTTTATTTCCACAAGGGCTTTTTACCGCCCCTTCTCTCCACCACCTCCCCGCCCCTTTGCTGCCCCAAACCAGGGGCACCCCTCCCCTCCAAGTCTGTGCATCCTCTGGGGGCCTTCTCCGTACCCCCCCCCGCCCCTCAGAACCCATCACTCCTGCATCAGAATCCCAGCCACCCTCCTCAAGTCTTCTCACAGCCCTCAGGATCAGCACCAGCTCCCACGCAGGACCCCAGGATCCAAACCCCCACCTGGCTCCTAACCCTACCCTGACCCCTCTACCTCCCACCCCAGGATCTGGCTCGAGGCACCTAGACCCGTCCTCCCAGGACCCATCCCCCGCCAGCCCCCCGGGACTACCCCTCCCTCCCCGGGCCAGCCCTCTTGGAACCCTCAGCTAGGGCCGCCTTCGCTGACCGGTCTCCCCTCTGTGGGCCCAACTTCCCTATTTTCCCGGGTCAAAAACCTCAGCGTAGGTGCTCTGGCCCCGGTTCCTCGCAGAGCCCCGCCCAGTGCTCTGGCCCCGCCCCGTGAGGGTCCCGCCCCCGAGGGCCCCGCCCAGTGCTCTGGCCCCGCCTCGTGATGGACCCGCCTCGTGACTGCCCCGTCCCGTGAGGGCCCCGCCCCGTGAGGCCCCGCCCAGTGCTCTGGCCCCACCTCGTGATGGCCCCGCCTCATAACTTTCCCGTCCCATGAGGGCCCCGCCCAGTGCTCTGGCCTGGCCCCGTGAGGTCCCGGCCCCGAGGGCCCCGCCCATTGCTCTAGCTCCACCTCGTGACGGCCGCGTCCCGTAAGAGCACGCCCCGTGAGGGCCCCGCCCCGTGCTCCGACCCCCCAGTGAGGGCCCCGCCCCCTGCCGTGGGAGAACCGGGTTTTTGCGTAGACCCGCGGCTGCCTGGCTGCCTGCCGCAGGGGGCTGGGTGGGGCCCCGGCTAGGGTCTGCCCCTGGGCCTTGCTGACCTGGGGATCCCGCGGGGGCCTCAGAGGGAAGCAGAATGCCCTGCTGAGGAGCAGGTTGTGGGGATCAGAGTTCAGTTAAGCAATTTTTTTAAAAAATCTTTTTTGGGTTTATTTATTTTTGAAAAAGAGTTGGGGAGGGGGAGAGACAGGGAGAGAACTTCAAGCAGGCTCCTCGCTGTTAACGCAGAGCCCAACTGAGGGCTCGAACCCATGAACCGTTAGATCATGACCTGAGCCGAAATCAAGAGCTCAAAGCTCAACCGACTGAGCCACC